TGACCCCCGTGGCAGGCGCGCAGTTGATATACTCAAACTGGGCGTCCCCCTCGTGAAGCACAGAAACCTCATGCCAGGTCCGCAAGCGCCTCAGATCGCCAAACGCCTTGTAATGCGACAGCGCCCCGCGATAGATGGCAAGATGGGAGGGGTGCGTCTTGGCCCACCGTTCTAGGCTGTCGAGATTGCCGAAGAAGGCCGCGCCGCAGGACTCTTTGCGTGGCCGTCCGGAAGCCGCCGCGTCCCCCTCGTTGCGGAGGTAGCGGACGCTCATGGCCTCCGTCTCGTGCGGGTGCTCCATGAGATAGCGCAGACCTTCGTGCAGGGTCGGCTCGAGCCTCCGCTCATACGCGTCCGCCTCTTGCTGACCGCAGTTTTCCCAGAATTGGCCAGAGCGGATGTGGGCGAGATTCTGGGGGTTCGTGCCCACCAGGTGCTGGCCGCGTCCCCGGACAGCACTGTCGGGTGGGAGACTTACGGGGTCCGTGGGCTTCGGAAAGAGATCGTGGGCCGCGTCCGGGATGCGATCCCGCGCGGCGCCCCAGTACGCTGAGCGGTCGTGCTCTGGCGTCGTTGTCCCTGGGAGTCTTGCGAGCCCTGGCAGGTAGTCGAGGCCGGAGTAGTTGGTCTCCAGCCTCGGGAGAGCGGTGGCGAAACACTCGCGCCAGAGACCGATAGATTCGCGGTCGCGTGTCTCCAGTCGCGAGAACAAGGCCGGCAGGGCGAGCGCCTGCAGCGCAGCGTCGTACTTGTCTGCATCTTGCCAGTAGCACACCCAGACGGACGTGTCTGTCGCTTCGGCGCCATCAATCATGGCGAAGGCCTCGAACACAGCCGGTCCATGGCCAGCCTCGAGCCAGGCGCGAATGGCCGAGGCGATCTGGGCGTCGGCCCGCAGACACGGCTCGTCGGCCGCGTGTCGCTGAACACCAATGTACGCGGTGAAGACGTGCGTGACGGCCGGCGCGAGCGCCAAGTGCCATCGCGGAATGGGGAGACGATGGTTCTTGGGTTTGCGCAGCGGATACGTGCGGCCTGGACAAGACATGTTGTGAGGGTGGCGTGGATTGTAGAGGAGCCGCGAACATGTGAGGGGAAGCTTTCCCTTGACATCCATAGTTGTGCCCCTCATCGTGCCACTCCGATTCTCCAACATCCAATGTCGGCACAGTGCTCCGTTTGACTACATCCCCTCGGTTTCGCTTCCATTTGTCTTCTAGCGAGCAAATGTCTTTTCTTTGGAAAAAACTTACATGGCTTCAACCATCGAGCTTGCAAAAGGCAAACAAAGTTCAACGTACACGTTCATCAGCATCAAAATGTCGTCTCATCACCCGTGCGAATAGGCACAATACTCTCACTATCCAGACACGACTGGAAGCATGAAATCTTGCAAACGCCAAAATCTTGTATTTCCAAAAATGACATAATGTGAAAAGATTGGGTGAGTGTCAGTTCATGAAAGGGTCTGTCTTGAGTGAATGTTCTGTTGGTCCGTTCATTACTGTCATGTCTATATCTAATGCAATCTGGAAAATCAAATCTATCTCCGTCCTCATAAATCAAAGCAAAGCCATCTGTCCCCATGCCAGGCAGCTCAGGAAGACATGGTGCGCAGACTGTGTTCATCCAACATGTCGTAGCGACCCTCTTCAACAAGTCTCTGCGTGGTGATGCGCTGCGGGTAGTTCCTCATGAACATGTCGGTAAAGTGCTTGCCGTAGTGGATGCCCTCCTTGGGCTCCTGGCCAACGTCGTAGCCCTCCAGGGGCTTGATCACGGCCTGGAAGCTGGGCTCGTGGAAGTAGGCAAAGGCAAACCTCTCCTTGATGTTGAGACCAACCTTGTGAGGCGTGGACGGCAGGACTGAGTTTGTGAGAAACTGCATCATGTCACCTGTAGGTACGATGACGGGTTAGTTTTGTTGCCAAGACCCTTTCGGAAAACCAATAACTTGCCTGGGAAAACGGTAAAAACGTTCTCTGCAGGGGGCACAAACACCCAGCCCTCATCGTCTTCCTTGAAGCCGGCAGCGCTCCTCTCCCAGTTGGCGAAGTTCTCGTCCTTCTCCGGGGGCCGAACAAACAAGGCTAAACGGTGTAAGTCACTCGCAAGGGGCTTCGACAGGCTGTTCTCGTCACTTACCACCGACGTCGTCAGCTGCCGCGAGAACGAGCAGTCCGTAATCGGTATGGGAGCCGATGCCACGGCCATCCTTGCCTTTGCCATTCGTAGCATACGTTGCGGGGAATCTACACATCCAACGTTAGAAATCAGACAGAGAAAGCGTTTGGAAGCGTCCCAGGGGCACCTACCGCAGCACACGCAGGTGATGCCAACCATCGCGTGTCAGGCCCGTGAGAGACCCCTCAGGCAGATCAAGACCGAGCTCCGTCAGCTTGAGGATCATCTCGCCGCTCTCGCCCAAGCTGTCCATGTACCGCTGAACGGGCTCCTGCATCTCGACATCCGGCCACGGGCAGCGTCCGTGGCAGGGCCACTTTGCGCGCACCCTGGGCTCGTCGAGCGGGAGGTCTTTGGTGACGGTGAAGATCTCGCTATAGTCGGCAATGCCGTCCGTGAGCTCCTCGCCGCTGGCGATATAGCCGGCATAGCTCTGGCTGTCGACGCAGGCCGCCTTCTGGGCGTGGGACTTCTTGAAGAAGCGCTTGCTGGCCGCGTTGGCGGCCTTGTACGTGGCCTGCTGATTCGGCTTCATGGCGATCTGGAGGATGCCGTCCTTCTGCCAGGCGGCGACGATGGCCCTGCCGAGCTTCACATCACTGGCGCTTGACGTAAAGGTTTCGGGCAAGACAAAGGTCTGGAGCTGGCCGATCGTGGCCTTGTAGCCGGGAGGAACGCCTGAGGGATCCCCCGAGACCGTCTTGGTGACGGCCTTGGTCGGCGCGAGCCTCTGAGCGTTGGCGACGGTCATTTTTATGTGTTGAAGAAAGGGCTGGGTATTGTGGTGAATAGAGGATATACGTTGTTTCAATGTTGAAGTGCTAGGCAGGTCTCTGAAGTAGTGTGGAAGGGTTGATGATCCTTTCTCTTCTTTTCGGTCCTGATGCCTCTCTTATATAGTATCTCGATGCCTTCCCTGAATGCCGTCATCCAGACTCGGGGTCTTGGAAGCTTCCGTCGTCGTCCAGGTCCAGAGGCCCCCTCCTCACATGTTAAAGTTCCTACATGACGAATTCTGCCACCTTGCGGAACAATCACGGGATGTTGGAAACTGCACGCCAAGGATCTACGGCGACCTTCTCTACACGGTCAACAAGGGCTCGCGGCGAGCCGACTCATGAAGGATAGGAAGACGCCCCGGCGTACGAGTCAGACAGCATTGTCCAATGGAAAAGCCGCCAGCCCTAAATGAAAGCTTAAAGTAGAGAGATCGAGACTGACAGCAACGATACACCGCTCACGGAAACAATTTGCCGCCGCCGGGATACCCAGTGCATACGAGTCGGGAAAACCCAGGGCAAAGCAGACACTACTGCCACGGCCGCCTTCGGCGTCCGCTGACGCGGGCCGCCCGGAGGCCGCCCCGTATAGTCCTCCCGAATCCTAGTAAACCTAATGTGAACTCCGGTCTGGAACCCTTAATGTGCGGGCTTCCCTTGTAGCAGGCAGACGTTAAATATAGACCCACAGCCTCGGGGGCCCGCGTGACTAAGGTGATGCGAGTCGAGCCGAAACTCGTCAGATCACCGCCCCCAGTCCGTATCCGTACCTCACTCAGTGCCTTCGAAAGCGGGTGGCCCCGCGCGGGGTCTGTCATGAACGTCTGATCGAGCAAAGAAACATATGCTTGGATGATGACTGATCGTGCCATGTGTTGACGAAGCAAGGTGACATTGCCTCCAGTCAGCCAGACAAGCAGGAAACCTTCCGAGTCGGTTACACCTCGGGTTCGCAACTTGACTAAGCCAGAATCCTCCTCTGACGTATTCAAGTTCGTCAACGGAACACGCGGAGAACGGTGGATAATGGCCAATGGAACCCCGGAACACTTTCCGCAGCTGTGAAACGCCTTGCAGATGGGATAGGTTGAGAAGGCAAATCTTTAGGTGGTATCGCGGTGACCCGGTGTGTTTGCACTCAGTCCACATTGGGCAACTCGACTGTCTTTTGAGTCGCCGATGCGGCAAGGTCATAAAAGCAGGCCGGAGGGGTCGCCGAGTTGCATGTTGCGCGCGCTGTCCAGCATCCAAGGTACACGAGGAGGAATTAGAGTTTTGGATTAAGCTTTTTCTCTGTCGTCCCCTGACAAGGCTCTGAATGCGAGTTTCTGGAAGAGGTAAAGAAATCCGGCCAGCTGGTGGGAACTGACTCTCTATCCAGTCGTTCCTTGAGTCTCATCCATTGCCGTTGCATAGATTAGATTACGGATCGCACTTTAATTGATGAGCCAAGGAGCTGGATCTTCTGAAGGTGTCAGAAAACTCCGAATGTAATCACGGAGCATTCCTATCTTGTCTCTGTGCGTTGCCAACACGATTCGTGAACCCCGGGGCTCGATATTGTTTCCGTTGGCTCCGTGACTCGAATACCGATCCGAATGTCAGGAAACACGGCGTCGAGCCTTGCACTGTCTCAGATGGCGAAAAGTGAGCATCTCGATGGTTTGGGGACAACCGAACCCCTGCCCCCTCAGCCCCAACCAGCATTCCCGTGCGACTCGCGCTTCGAAAAGGGGCTTGAGTAGTCGGTCGTTCCGAAGCTCTGGAGCTGATAATGTGCGCGGGTGCGCAGCGGCTGCTCCCGTGCCTGGTAGTAACTCCCACCCTTCCATCTGGCATTGAATGATTTCGGAGACACTTGATCTGAAGAACGTGCTCTGTCGATTCCCAACTGGGCGTTGACCGACGTACGATGACAGCTGAACGAA